TGTTGAATTTTTAAGGGTGCCCCCCAAATACACCCCTCCCCCCCCCCCTTTTTTACCCCCCCCCCCCCCCCCCCCCCGCGCGCCGCGCGCGCGCGCGGGGGTGGGGGGGGAGGGAGGGAGGGAGGGAGACAAGATGGCGGCGCCCGGCGGAGGGAGCGTGGAGGATGAGGAGGCTGAGCCCGTGTTGGGGCGGTTGGAGGAAGAAGCGCGGCGGAGGCAGGAAAGGCTGCGAGCCCTGCGGCAGAGAGCTATGCAGGTGGGAGGCGGAGGGACGGGGGAGCGGCTGGGCTCCGGGGTACGGCTTGTAGAGGTGGGCCTGGCTGCGGCCTGTAACCAGGGAGGGTCGAGGGGTGGCGGGGGGGGGGAAGGATCCGTCGTGGGGGGCGGTGGGTTCGTATTGTGCCAGGGGAGGCTCAGGTTGGATATTAAGAGTAACTTTTTTTTCCTGAAGAGTGGTGATGCTGTGGTACAAGGCTGCCTGGGGAGGCTGTGGGTGCCCCATCCCTGGAGGTGTTCGAGGGGAGGTTGGATGGGGTCCTGGTCTGGTATTAAATGTAGAGGTTGGTGGCCCTGCGTGTGGCAGAGGGTTGGAACTTAATGATCCATAAGGTCCTTTCCATCCCAAGCCATTCTTTCACAAAATCACAGAATGGCCAGAGTTGGAAGGGACCTCAAGGATCACGAATCTCCAACCCCCCTGCCACATGCGGGGCCACCAAGCTCCACATTTAATACCAGACCAGGCTGCCCAGGGCCCCATCCAACCTGGGCTTGGACACCTTCAGGGATGGGGTATCCACAACTTCTCTGGACAGCCTGTTTCAGCACCTCACCACTCTCACACTTCCCCCTGACATCCAACCTAAATCTTCCCTCCCTCAACTTAAAACCATTTCCCCTCGTCCTGCTGTTATCTGCCCTTTCAGAGAGTTGATTCCCCTCCTGTTTGTAGGCTCCCTTTAGCTATTGAAAGGCTGCGTTGAGGTCACCCCGCAGCCTTCTTTTCTCCATGCTGAACAAGCCCAGCTCCCTCAGCCTGTCTTCACAGGGGAGATGCTCCAGTCCCCTGATTATCCTTGTGGCCTCCTCTGGATCCTCTCCAACAGCTCCCTGTCTTTTTTTGTACTGGGGGCTCCACACTTGGATGCAGTATTCTAGATAAGTCCTCACAACAGCAGAGCAGAATAGAGGGGGACAATCACCTCCCTGTCCCTGCTGGCCACCCCTCTTTTGATGGAGCCCAATGAAGCCCATTCTATGATGCTGTGGTTCTATGATTAGCCACTTATTCGTTGGTAATGGCAGGAAGACCACCAAGTGGTGAAGATACAATAAGGAGGAATGTAAATAAGCTGTTTTGCTGAAGTCTGAGTGAGGCCTGTGTACACCCTACTCCAAGAAAAGTAAGCCTCAGAAGTGTCAATGCTTTTACAAACCTCATAACAGGGAGTCAATTCTGTGATTAACAAGGCTTGCGGAGCTTCTCCGAGGACTCTACCACTGAGCATGGTAGATAAAGCAAGAGGTGATGGCTTCAAGTTATGCCACAGGAGGTTCAGGTTGTGTATGAGGAAAAGTTTCTTCTCAGGAGGAGTGGTGAGGTAATGGAACAAGCTGCCCAGGGAGGTGGTGGAGTTGCTGTCCCTGGCAGTGTTCAGGAGATGTCTGGATGAGGAGATACGGTTTAGTTTGTGGTAGCAATGGTAATGGGAGGGCGGTTGGACTAGATGATCTTGCGGGTCGTTTCCAACCTTGTGATTCTGTGATTCTAGTTGTGGAGTCACTGTCCCTGGAGGTGGATATGTGATGCTTGGGGAGATTGTTTAGTGACCATAATAATGATTGGTTGACAGTTGGACTAGATAATCTTACTGGTCTTTTCCAGCCTTAATGATTCTGTAAATAGGAGAGGGAGAAATGGAGACCTGGGAGAGCTCCATCAGCAGTGGAGGAACAAGGAGGGAGGAAAGGTGGGTCAGGCACTGGAACAGGCTTCCCAGTGAAGTGGTAGAGTCGCTGTCACTGGAGGTGGTCAAAAACTGTTGGAAATGTGGCACTGGGGTACATGGCGTGGTGGGGTGATGGGGATGTGTTGATGATTGGACTTTGATGAACTTAGGGCTCTTTTCCAGTGTTAATGATTCTTTGATTGTGTGTGCCACTGAGAGCAGGAAGCCATGACACCCTGGGGACAGGTGGACATGGAGCAGAAGGAAAGAGATAAGGAGAGGGATGACGGAAAATGCTGAGGCAAGGAGGAGGGTTTGGTGTCTAGGAAGAAAAGATGTATTAGCCACTTGTTCATTGGGGTGTCAACAGCAAGAAGAAGACACAAGTGGTGAAGATGCAGCGGCTCCTTGTAAAGAGAGCTGTTCATAGAAGGCTTTGTGTTCCATTGTGTGGAAAAGCTTTTGGGTCTGTGGTTTGAGGGTTCAAGTTGTGGGGTGCAGAGGATGGGTGTGCAAGGAGGCTGTGTTGTGTTTAGGGGAAAATCATGGTGTTTGGTGCAGGCGGTTTGCTAGGGTGCTTGGAGTGTAGCTGTAAGTGGTAGTGGGACTGAGGCTGTGTGAGGTGGCCAGGCAGCTTTTAGGAGCGTGGGGGGTAAGGAGGAGAGCAGGGTGAAGGGATGACTGTAGGGAAGGAGTAGTGAGGGAGCTTGGGATAGGAGGGGAAAAGTGGAGATTACAGAGAATGGGTTAAGAGGGCATCCTCAGTGTGAGGAAGGGGTTCTGGAGTGAAAGGGTTTGATAAAAGGGATGCAAGCAGTGGGGGAGGGGGTGGGATTTGGGGTTCACTGCAGATCAGTGAGGAGCACCAGGGCTTTCTGAGGGGAAAAGATGGTGTGGAGCAACACCGTGCTCTGGAGTGAAGCCTTTTGTCCCTGGATGCGGGGATGGGAGGAGCAGAGAAGCAGGCGTGGTGGGGATGCTTGTGCCATGTTTTTCCTGGTGACCGACCTCTTGTGTGACCAAACCCTCTTGCTGAGCCCCAGTGATGTCTCTGGGGTCTCTGTCCTGTTGTGATGTTTGTTCTTGTTACTTCAAAACAGGGATTTTTACTGCAGATGAAAGAAGAATGCAGCAAATGGGAGAAACTTGGCAGTCAGTGCCTCAGCGGTGGTACCAAGGAAGGCTGCAGTGATTCAGTGTGTCTCTACAAGCCCTTGTGTTGCTTATTTCTTTTCTCTCAGGCTAATAAGGTGTGAGCTCTGCTCCCCTTCTGCCACATCATCCTCAATTTGTTGATGAGGGTTAGTCCAGTAATGTGGGAGGGTGTCTTGTCTGTTTCCTTTGGGGTTTGGTAGCTCCAATAGAAGCTGTGTGGACAGGCCAGGGGCAAAGTGGGATGCTGCCCTTTTTAGCCTCACTGGGAAGAAAAGCTACTGAAACAAAAGGCTCCTTCCTTTCTTCTGGCAAGTTTAGAGGGAGCAGAGCTTCCTGAGAAATGTATCCTGGTAAATAAGCCCACATTAGGTCATCATGAGTGTGAGCTAAACAGTGACTTCTTGATTTTGCTGACAGGGATCAGCTGGTGGCTGAGAGCCTTCTGAATTATTTCAGAAGAGTCTAAAACAGGTGGCTGCTGCTGCAGCAGGACCAGGGGAGGCAGGATCCACAGGGTGAGCTCCTAACTGCCAGAAGCAGCCCGCTTGCAGCAGAGAGGAGTGAGTTCCTACAGAGGGAAGGTAGACACTTCCTTAGTCCCACTGAAGATGTGTTGTGTTTAGTGGCACTTGGTTGACTTGTCCTGCTGAGTTTATCCAAGCCCTTTAAGTCTCTGCTTACACTTGGCTTTTGCAGCATCCCAAGACAGAGTTCTGCAGTTTAATTAAAAAAAAAAAAACCCGACAACACCTGTTAAACCCATTAGATGAGAGTTTTCACAACTCTCATCTAAAAAGGAGCTGGGATGCTCCTTTTGCAGATCTAATGAGAAACATGAAATAGCTGTTCTGTCTTCATGATCTTACAGTGCTGTTCATCTCTCTTCCAGATTCAAATTGGGGTCTGTGGGCTCTGTCTTCATACACAGATATCTCTGAACTGTCTTTATGATATTCCTGTGTATCTTCTTGACTTCAGAGATGCCCCTTTGCTGAGAGGGGCTCTGGGACTGTGTGTGGTGCTCAGGATGTGGGGGCTGTGTTGGTTTGCAATGCTGGCACACCATTTCCTAGTTTTATTTATCAGGGCATGCCTACTTTCTTTCCCAGTTCCACCAGCCTCCATGTAAAAGATCCCACCTCTCCTCACTGCGTTCCTTACTCCCCAGACTGTTTGGCTGCACACATATGAGTGCTCAGTGCCATCCTGATGTGATTTTTCTGGTTGCTGCTCAGCACTGAGCATGCTGTTTGCATGGGGCTCCCCTCAGCTGTCCCAGCACCTCCCAAACAGCAAGACTCTTTGGGGGACCCATTCCCTGTGTAAGTGCTGCCAGAATGATATATATTTTTTTTACCCCCTGTGCATTGCTGTACATCAGGCTCTGAATTTCACTTGTTGCCTTATTGCTCAGTGATGCGTCCTTGTAAAACCCTTCTGCAAGACTTGAGTTGCTGCTGGATTTCATTGTGAATCATCTTGCCTGCAAGTGCTGTCCTCAAACCACCTGTGCCTTTCCCATGCCTTTCCCATGCCTTCTGCAGCCCCCAAACCCTGAAAGGGGAGAAGATGGGAACTGCTGCTGTTCTCCTGCCTTGATGCTGCAGTGCTTGGGCTCTCAGGAGGGCAGGTGCTGCAATTCACACGTTGCTTGAGGTCAAACAAGGAACCTCTTCCTGTTCTGCTCTGCAAATTACTCGGTGCACTCAGTGTTGGCTTGAAGGTGATGCTCATCTTTTCCCAATTAGTGAGGAAATGAATGAGGTAATGACCAAGCGTATCAAAGCCTGATGCATCCTCTTGTGTGCTGTGTTTTTATTTATTGCCAGGAAATGTTCTTTTTAATCCATAAAAATTGGGATTCTTTGGGTTCTGGGCATAATTTCCACGTGAGGCTCGTGTCAGTTGATGTTTGCTTATATAAATGTGATTAAAATAGCACACAAGGTGATGCTGAAGTTCCAGACTAAATGCACAGCCTTGGCAACAGCAAAGTTTGCAGTTGCAAGGTAATACACAGAATCAGGTACAGCATCAGAGAGGTCATTTCCTTCCTAAATTTAAATTGAATTGGCTTTCAGTTGCACGTAATCACATTGTGGCTCTGACTTGTTGGCATACAGAATATTACTTCCTGTTCTGGCAAAGAAAT